TCCCGGTATCAATGAACACCCTCTTCACATCAAATCCTGCGACCTCTGTAGTTATTACCAGAGCATCATTATGTGGCAGGACCACTCCTTCGGCATCCTCTGCCTTAAAACTTATCACCGGCATTCGGGCCGTGATACTCACCTCTTCCCTTTTCCTCTTCATTGCTCGGACGTGACCTTTCCTCGCATTGTTTGAGTCCCCGTCCGTCGGTCCTCCCGAGATCATATATATCGTGCCTCTCTTCACCTGGCCTCCATCCCCTTCTCTCTCCCGCTCTCTACTTCCTCGCCTCCTCTTTCCCTCACCTCGCTTTCGACCATATCGACCACCTCGCGCATCCTCATCATCATCTTCCTCACTCCTCTCTGCCGAGTCTTCCCGACACCTTCTCTTCTCCTTCCTCCTTCCCTTGTCCTGATAAACAAACTCCTTGAGGTGTCCCGCTCGAATGAGGCGCTCAATTTCGTCCTTGAGGTGCCGACAATCCTCCGTAGTGTGGCCATAGTCTTTGTGGAAGCGGCAATATCTCCTCGACTTTAGTTGGGTGGGCCCCTCGAACCTCGACCTAGGCCACGTCACGTCCTTCTCGTCCATCCCTTTTTCCATAGCTATTAGAACCTCGGCTACCTTTGCGTTCAACGGGGTGTAATCATGGAATCTTTTTCCTCCAGAAATGGGTCGATCCTTCCACCTGTCTTCTCGCCCTCGATCCTGTCTAGCTCGCCCCTCCCTCCTGGGCGAGGCTTTTCTTTTGGGCGAGACCGTTTTCTCCTTCCTCGACTCCCCTCGACCTAACTCCTCCAGCTTGGCAAACTCCGCCTCAGTCTCCTCGAGATTGATATATTTCCTGCATCTCTTCAATACTTCATCATACGTGTGAGCAGGGGTCTTAGCTAGAGAAGTCCGACACGGTCCTGCCCGCAAACTCCTTATCTGTCCTCCCGCCTTGACCTCGTCAACCGCTGATGGAATCTCCAAACAGGCCTGATTATATCGAGCAACATACTTGCACATTGACTCTTTCTCGCCCTGTCTCATCGCCATCAATGTCAAATACGTTTTCTCCTGAGCCACCGCGCTCGAGTATTGATTTGTCAACTTCTCCGCAAAATCCCCAAAGTCCACTATCGAGCCTGGGGGGAGCTGTTGGAACCAGTCAAGCGCCCCTCCCCTAAGGGTCGATAAAAAGGCCCTGCAACTAACAGGGTCAGTAAATCCATGCAACACAGCCATATTTTCAAATGTTCTCACGTGTCTCGACGGATCAGAGGTCCCATCAAACACCAAGTTGGTATCCTTGTAATTATTTGGCAAAGGCGCTGCCAGTATGTCCGCCGAGAAGGGATGTCCTCGAGCGCGCCTCTCTGCTCGACCATCCACCTTAGCCTGCAATTGGCGCAGCTGCTCCGCCATCCTCTCCATCTCCCGGTCATGCGTAGGCCCGCCTCCGCCATAGCTGGATTCCTCCTCCTCCGTATTTTGTCGTGACCCTGCAACAGTATTCGGCGCAGTCGCAGCCCGAGAGAGACTGTTTGTAACCTGTTGAACCGCCTGGGCAGCTGCCTCCGCCACCATTTGTTGCATTTCCTGCCTGGTCATTACCACCGGTTGATCGGGGACCTGAACCGCTGCTTGCGGCGGCGCTCCTCCTTGGACCGCCTCTCCTCCCCGTTGTTCCCCTGTTCCTCCTGGTTGTACTGTTGCCAAATTTTGTGGTGGTGGTGGTGGCATCGCCGCCGCGTCCGCTGCGCGAGCCTCCTGGGCGCGATTGGNNGTATTTCCTCCAGGGATCGCTGTTGCCGCTCTTACACCTTGGAGCACCGGTGCGGGGGTGACCGGCATCTGCGATGGGCCCGAAAAACCCGGAGGAGGGCCTAGCCCCAACGGCCTAGTCGTCGTCCAAGCATCATCGAACGTTGACTGCAAGTTTTTGGGAATTCCGTCCGCCATAGCTGAGCTTCAAGCACACCTTTTGGAACGAAAGTCCCACAGACGGCGCCAAATGGTAACACAAAACTCCTCGACCGGCTGGAACTTGAGTAATCGCCTTCCTTCTCGCCGGTTGAACGTCGTGTACCTACAAAGAACTCTCACACCGGAGGGGTTTTCCGGTGAAGAGCCTCCGATGCTTAAGTCAGTGTATATTCAATCAATTCTCCAGAGTAATAGAATGATCGTGTTGAAGAAGAAAGGCTCACCCCCTTTATATAGAGGTGAGATACCTGACCTAGGGCTGCCCGGATTTGATGTGCCCTAACTGCCCGTCCGTACGCGCCAAACGCATGTGTCAGAGGTAGCTGTCGCCACTATCGCCTGCACCAATCCCCTTTGGACGCGTGTCCCCCTGCACATGGGATATGCTGTCAGAGGCGGTTATTGCTATCCACCACTGCTTTCTCGACACGTGTCCCCCTGCACATGGGGTAAATATTCTCCTGGAATTCTGTCAGAGGCTTCCTTCACGCGCCTGTGACTAGGCCGAACAGCGTGGTGTTAAGTCCTCGAAGTAATCGACTTAGTGAGGTCGACTCGATTGCTCGATCGCGTATCTGGTCGAAGGATAGCTTGGTCGACAACTTCACTTGGTCGAGTGATTGATTGCTAGATTTCTTTGGCTTCCACATAATCTGACCTCCTCGACCGGTCAACAGACCGGTTCAGCCTTATGGGTATAATATCCTATATCAGGAGGTGCTCGCATTGTATGCCCAGCAGAATGATTAGTGGTATGACTATGCCCAGCATGTGAAGTGTGATCTCGTCTAGATTGAGACATGATGACCGGTAGTAAAATGCTCAGTGGCTGGATATGCGCAAGTAATGGCTATGAAGTGAAGATTAACCTCAAACAAATATGAGGCCCTTCGTCTAGCGCCAAACTGTTGTCATATGGTAATTAACAACGATATTACTTGGAAGTGATTAATCAAACAGTATGCAATTTAATATGTAGTGAACAGAAGGGACGTCGGTTTCGTGTGGTGACAACGTTGGTATTTATTGAATATTTATAGTGATTGTTTAATGTTGTATTACAATAATCATGAAAGTCCAGAATCCCTTTTCTGAGGGTTCAATCTGCAATTTATAGAAAGGTGGTCCACCGTACGAGATTGGTGTGATCGCATTTAATGTGGATGCGAAGTCAAAGGTGGTCGTTTGCCACTTGGATTCATTGTTCGCCATCTGGACGACAGTCATGATGACGGGTTGAGTTGTCACCGCCTTTTGATGTCGGTAATTATTTTTTGTGGATGTCGGTTGACTAGGTCTTGACCGGTGAGAGGCCTCGGTTAGAGAGATAAAGGTAGTTGCTTTACTGTCTACTTGCCAAGTAATGACGTCAGTTTTTAGTCTGTTGTATCCGGCGTGATAGTACTTAGGATCTTTGAGATTGCGTAGCTTTGTGATAACAACCCTTGGTAATTTGGTTTATCGAAAACCATGTCAACACTCTCATCCTAACAAGCCATACTCCTCAACCTATCATGCCTCATCCTAACCAAATACCATATCCAGGAAAGAAGACACATTATAAGGTGGAAATTCGGCTTGCTCATCCTGAGGTTGAACACGTTGTATTCCACATCGATCATGTACTCGACTGTCTCCATTATAAGTGGGGGCTCAGCCCGTGACCACTTTTTGCCGCCACTATCTGTATTGCTTGATACCTGAGCTGGTCGATGTACCTAACCGAGATGGGCTGGACGTAGTGCATTTTCGGGAGCAGGGGCTTCCTTTATTGGATGAGACGTAGTGCATTTTCGGGAGCAGGGGTTTTCTCTATTGGGTGACTACGTTGACCAAAGCGGTGCACGTGAACCGTAGCACCAGGTGGTGCTCCCGGTGATTTTTTATCCCAGAGGGCGTTAGCATGAGTAACAGGTACGAGTAGGTGTATATGCGGTCGGTCTGAAAGGTCGAGAGCCGGATGGGCACTTTACCAATCTTCTTCCACGATTCACCATTTCCGCTGTCAGTTGATGATGAGATGATCGGGCGAATACCGCAATACCCCCAATCCAGTCAAAGCTCCTCTTCATTAGGACAGCGAGCTACAGCAGCATCCAAAACGGCTCGATAGGAAAGAGTTGCAGAAATCTGAGCCAGCGAGCTTCTAGGCGTGATGATGTCTCTACCGAGCCTCTGCAATGGCGTGACCGACGACCGGACCTCCATCGAGAAGTGGCTATCCCTCGGCCACACCACCTGCTCCCCCACTCTGCAGACTCGACCATCTGCTCACACCACCCCCAACCTCACCCTCCACCGCCTCTTCGACCTCCAGATAGCGCACGATCGCCGCCTCCTTCCTTGTCCTCTCTGTCTTCGTCCTCGTCCTCGCCCTCATTACGATTTCGAGCACCAAGTCGCAGACGTCAACAATGGCGGAGGATTGATGCAATTTTTGGGTTAGAATATTAGATATTAGATCGAAATTGACATTTTTGGTGTGGAGATTGTTGGACCTTTGCAGATTACAGAGCTGAATTTTGGCTAGGTTTTGCTCTGCGATTTAGAATTGAGGGAGATGAACTTAGAATGACATACGGTTTTGGGGTTGCGCCTTTTCCTTTTTTTTTTTGGTTGGAGTTCTTAATGGCACTTTAGTAATTTTATGTTATTAATAAGGTTAATAAGGTATATGGTAGTTGTGTTGTTCATCTCCCTCTTCCCAAGCGTGGTAATACGACGGTCCATTCTTCCCGTGAATTTATGAAGAATCGACCATTGAATTACGAACTAGGTTTCTTCATAAGTACTCTAAAATTTGATCGCCTTTGGCAAACAAATAAAATAAAAATTGATTAATTTAACTGGAGGAAGTTTCAAGATTACTGAGCATTATTTGATAACTATGAAATTCGTTCAGCTTTGGTGCATAAGAAAGGAAAAAATACTAAATCCGATTAGAAAAAGTTTCAAGAGTACTGACTACTGAGCATAACTTTTGCACGTGAAGTTTCAATATTACTAAGTATAATTTAATTTATGAAATAATACTAGATATTATTATGAAAGGGTATTTGTGAATTACATAAAATTTTCATACTATTTAATAAATAATTATAAATATTATTTATCACAAACATAGTCGTCATAATTTATGTGGCTTTAAGGCCGAAAGTAAATTGTGTCAGGAATACAATATTTTTTGGTGACAAAAATAAAATTTATCATTTTTTCATAACAAATTTTATGATGAAATATCATTCATTGTAAGAAAAAGTGTCATAAATTATTTGAATTAAGTGACAAAAATAAATAATGTCATAAAATAATAATCTTTGGTGACGAAATTTAAATTTGACATTGTTACTAACAAAATTGTGACAAAATAAAATTTTTCATAGAAAGAATCGTCATAATATATGTAATATCCCGCTATAATATTAATGAAATATCATGTTTAGTTCCGAAATATTTAATTTATCATTCGTTATTGTTCGGAACTAATTAATTCAGTCAGGGATGTTTGAATTAATTTTCGAATAACAAGTGTGTTCGGAATAATTTTCCGATATTTAATTCATGTCTAATCGCTCGATAATTAATTTTGTCGAACTTAAGATCAATGTTCATGCACTAATGTTAAACTAACTAGTCATTGATCATGTGTTAGCAAGTGATGGGTGTTATTAGCGCATGCTAAGTGTGTCCTTAGCTCGGACGTACTAATACACGCGTAATCGCACTTAGCGCCTTAATGCGCACTTAGCCGGCTAAGCTATCTTTAGTACTTCAAATGACCGATTATTTGGTCTTCAATTTTCCTCATGTGAAAAACCATCATTACTTGCACACATGTAAGTTTGAGACAAGATAAGAGAATGACTAAGCCAAAGTTTGGGTGACTAAGCACCCAAACGCCACCCTCATGCGCTAAGCTCACGACACATGGCGCACGGCCATTGGTCGTAAGTTTCCCCAAATTTTCAGCAATTTTACCGTCAATATAAATCAGGATTGGGAGGGGAATTACAACTTATTTACTAAGCTAAAAGATCAGCAAACATTAAGCCAAGTTAGTCCCAATCACACGCACAGAACAAGCACACTACGTACACGCACGGAATTGGAGAAGATCACGTCCATTCTTGCGAATTTCGTCGAGCAATTGAGGAGGTAAATTCATCCTCAACCTCTCTTCATGTTAATGAGTTCATGTAAGGTTGAATTGTTCAGCTCATGTTTCAAGAATTTATAGATATGTCATGATAAGGCTCGGTTTAGGTCATCATAGGTCATGACCGAGTAAAGTTCAATTCTATCCGGCAACTCATGAACAATTCATATTTATTTGATCATTTTAGATCATTTTATACTCAGTTACTTCATGTTGGTCGAAGCAAGTAATTGTTTTGTTCCTGATTTGGCTCAAAGCCGTCGGCAGCGCAAGTCGCGCATGCCCACGGGCTGTCACATGTCATGTCGTGTTATCTTTAGTTGTGATCAAGTTTGTCCGTGCAATTCATGTCCCAACAGCTTTAAAATGATGTATTAAGGTCAGACTTTTAATATTGTTCGGAGCAATTTCATGTTTATTCGAAGTATTGGCCTAACACCGAATCCGTGCTTATGGTGCGCACTCTTTGATATAATTCAAGTTTCTCGAGCAAAATTTATAAATTTTGTAAAAAGTCAGCATATTTGATC